TGTGAAACATGAAGGAAGAAGGGGGAGGTTTTGATGGTGGTGGGCAGAGTTATGATGTCCAATTCATCCTGGGCTTTCTGACTTCTCCATGGGATAGCTAAGTGGAGGAGCCTGATTGCCAATGGAAGATGCAGTAGGACGCTCAAGATGGAGATAAAGGTTTGGAAACCATCGGCCATTTATTACCAGTGAAACCATGGGAATGAATTCAATTGCCCAGGGGATGTAGACTGAAAGGTTAAGCAGGCCTAGGAGAGATCATAGGAGGAGGAGAGTTTGCAAAGGTGATGAAGACAGAAGTGGATGATCCAGAAGGTGTGATTGCAGAGAATCCAAAGCTGCAGCATGTTCCAAGAGGAAGATGTGGCCAAAAGAGTCTAATAGCTCCCAGCAGTCAAGCAAAAGACAGACTAAGAAATGTGTAATCAACTTAATGACAAGGTCATTTTTGACCCTGGAGAGAACCCAGTTCATGGATTAATCAGGGTAGAGGCCAGCTTGTGCTGATGTAATAAGTGAATAGACAATAAGTGGAGACAGCAACTGTAGATAACCCTTTCAAGCTATCTTCTGTGAAGAAGAGGCAAGAGTGCACCGGTGAGGACAATGAACGTTTGAGGCAGACAGCCTCGGTTCAAATCTCAGCTCTGCTAATGTTTATCTACATGATCTTGGGCATGTGATTACCCTTTTTTTTTTTTTGAGATGGAGTCTTAGTCTGTCGCTGGGCTGGAGTGCAAGCTGGCACAATCTCGGCTCACTGCAACCTCTACCTGGGTTCAAGCAATTCTTCTGCCTCAGCCTCCCGAGTAGCTGGGACCACAGGCATGTGCCACCACGCCCGGCTAATTTTTGTGTTTTTAGTAGAGATGGGGTTTCACCATGGCCAGGATGGTCTCAATTTCTTGACCTTGTGATCTGCCTGCCTTGGCCTCCCAAAGTGCTGGGATAACAGGTGTGAGCCTTACCCTCTTTATATCTCCATGAAACAAGGGGAATTCAGATTATTGTCTATTTGATGGGACTGAATGGAATAATGCTGGTCAAGTATTTAGCACAATGCCTGCACTCAGAAGAGTGCAATATAATTTCGTTACTATTAACTTAAGGTGATAGATGCATTGTTAAAAAATCCGAATGAGAACTGAAATGTTAATAGTAAATTATGAGTCTCCATCCCATCCCTGTGCCTTGGTTCCTGTCTCAGATTCTGTATGGCCTTCCAGAGATCCTCTGAGGTTTGAGGAGAGTGGGACTTCACTGGAAATACCTGTGAAGAGGAAGTGAGAAAGAGCGAGCCGGGAGACAGTACGATGGAAGGGCATCAGGGGAATGAAAGTAACTGGCTTCCTGGGGACTCCAGCATCCAGGCTGCTTAAAGAGGCAAGACACAAACTGGCAGTTCTGGGAGTTAAGGACAGAGCTCCAGAAACATCTCTTCAGCAGCGGAGGAGATTTGTTGCATCAGTGGCCCCAATAAATGGCCTGCTTGTTCCCATGCTCTTTGCACTGACTTGGAAGCTCCTCTTCCCATCAAGAGGTGAAGTCTAGTTCCCATGCCTTGAATCTGCATCGGCCTTGGCTTGCTCTGGCCAACAGGGTATGGTGGAAATGACACTGCGCCAGTTCTTCGTGATGTAAGGCCTTACATCACAGTGTTCTTACATACTCACTCTTTCTTCCCCCACCCCAACCCTTTCCTCTGCCATGTAAACAAGCCTAGGCTAGCTTGACGGAGTGATGAGGCCCATGGAGGAAGCCAAGGCTTTCTACCAGACAAGCAACCAATCCCCAGAAGCAGATCTTCCCTAGTGACCTGCAGCTAGCTGCCCACAGATGCAAAGGGTGCCCAGAAGAGACCAAAAGAACCACCCAGCTGAGCCAAGCCCAAGTTGCTGTCCCACAGAATCATGGCATAAATAAGTGGTTGTTGTTTTAAGTTGCTAAGTGTTGGGGTGACTTGTTATGCAACAGTTATGCAAATGTGCATTGCATTTGCCATCTCACACATTACAGTTATCCCATCTCTACAATCACTGTGGGAGGTGGAATTCAACAGTTCTAAATCAAAAAAATGTTTAAAATTATTGAAAATTTGGGTGGAGGAAGAGAAAGGAAAGAAGAAGCACTTTGTACTATATATAATATCCACAAGATAAGCTTACAAATGACAGACAGATCAAATTACTGAATAGGATGTACTCAGTGCTATAACTAGAGGTCATCAATGTTCTTAATGTTGATATGACGGGTTTATTGACTCCATTATTCTACCTTGTTGAAGTATATAGAAAAATTTTCCCCAAATCATTTCTATCTTGGTACCCTTCAGCAAATTTTCCGTGAAGTCTTAAGTTCTTTCTTCATAAATTCTTTCTGCATAGATTTGGGGCCACTAACAAGCATGGTTAAGAAAGGAAACTATGGTCATTAGCGGCCCTCAAACTGCTAGGTATTAAATGAAAACATAAGCTCTTAAACAATGTGTGTGGGTACAGAAAAGCTTATTTTCTCCCACTGAGTGCTCCTGAGAGTTGATGTGGCCATCAATTTCTTCTTCCATGGGGACGCAGTTGTAGATATCATTGGAAGGGCAGGTGTGGCAGTCAAAGGCACTCTCCTGCCTTTCTTGGAAAAACCAGACAGTACATTTTGAATATTTTCAGTGTAGTTCCTGCAGAAATTGCATCAATGGGAATCAAAATAGGGAAGTAAATTAACAAGTGCCCAGGCCAATGATGCCCTCATCATTCTGTGGGGTCAGCACTAGTGTGAATTTTATAGCTGAGGCAACTGCACAGCAGAGAAGTTCCTTCGCTTGCCCAATGCCCTACTGAGGATGTGGCAGAATCAGTCTGTGAACTCAATCCAACCACCTCCTATACTCTCTCCCTTGTAGGGCAACCTTATTTTGTGGCAAATGTTCATTTTCTATTTAAAGAAACCTTTCAAAATAAATGAAGTTTAAAACATGGGTTGATTTAAAGAAAGGTTTTATGTAAAGAACAGAGCCTGTGGGTCATAGGTATGGCAAAGCTGTCATGTAAGTGGCGTGGCCTTGCCAAGACTGGAGACACACAGAGAGGAGCCCAGGAGGGGGAGCTGGGTATGGCCCCCACTCTGCCTGTGACCTGCCCACAGCCCCTCCTGGCTGAAGCACCCTCCACACCAGTGTGATTTTTTACTTCTGGGCTTCAGCTTCCTGTGGATCAAGATAAAGCTTGGCCCAGATGGTCTTCAAGGGTCCTCCCAGCTCTCAGAAACAGTCATGCTGTGAACAGCTATTTTTGCTCTGTATTTAAGTGCAAGGGCCGGGCCTACTGGGAAAGGCCATTAAGTACAATCAAATCTTCCAAGATGAAAATATAGGTTTCCACCCACATGTCACCTTCTTTAAATACATTTGGCAAGTCCAGAATGTCAGCAATTAGTAACTGGGTCCAAGCACTGTAATGAGATTTGGACTCAGCAGTGAAGGAGAAATTCTTCCCCTGACTAATCTGGTTAGTGAAGCAGTTCAAGGTTTCACACACTGAAAAATATTCCACTAAGGTCATTATAAGTACAAATAAAATAGACTCTGATCACAAATAAAAGTGGTGGGTCACACATGTATCTTTCTACTTTATTTTTTGAAAAAAAGTTTTTTTAGACTTCTTTTGAAATAGATCCCCTTGACCTCATACCAAAGTTTCACCTTCAAAGGCAAATGAGGTGGCGGTTATGTTTAGGTGGGGAAAGTCCAGCGAAGGGTTGGGTAACTGCAGAAACTGCTACATATGTATAGATATTTCCAGATAATTTAGGCAAGCTTGTTGGAGAGGGAAGCAAACTACACAGCCTTTCTAAACAATAGCATTTCTGTGTGTGGGGTCTGTTTTTTAATTGGCTGCTTTGAGTCAGAGAAGCTACACTGTGTGTGCTAGTTAAGGGTACTGACCATAGGGGCTGAACCAGTTCTTGTACTTACAGTCTCTGTGGCCTTGAGCAAGTTACTTAGCCTTTTTTTTTTTTTTTTTTTTTTTTTTTTTTTTGAGACGGAGTTTCACTCTTGTTACCCAGGCTGGAGTGCAATGGTGCGATCTCGGCTCACTGCAACCTCCGCCTCCTGGGTTCAGGCAATTCTCCTGCCTCAGCCTCCTGAGTAGCTGGGATTACAGGCACGCACCACCATGCCCAGCTAATTTTTGTATTTTTAGTAGAGACGGGGTTTCACCATGTTGACCAGGATGGTCTCAATCTCTTGACCTCGTGATCCACGTGCCTCGGCCTCCCAAAGTGCTGGGATTATAGGCGTGAGCCACCGCGCCCAGCATACTTAGCCTTTTTGCACCACAGTTTCCTGTCAGTAAAATGGAGGTAATAAGAGCATATAATTCACAGAATTATCATGAAGGTTAAAAGAATGAACATGTTAAAGTGCTTAGAGCAACAGTCACCATACAGTAAATGCTTTATGTGTGAACTATATTCTTATCTGTGAAACAGCATCAACTTGCCCTCTAAACTGCTTTGGAAGCACTATATACCTGATAACATGTGTCTTATAAAGCCATGCTACCTTATACAATGCTAAGTGCACATTTCCTTGCATATTAAGCAAAACTGGAAAGCCTGGGGGGATACTTTACAGCTAAAAGGTGTCTAGGACATCATCTAGTCTAAAAGTGTCATTTTGTAGACAAAGCAATTGAGAAAAGAGAGATGAGGTGACTTGTCCAGGGCTATGGAACAAGTTGTAACCTGGCAGCCAAATCCAGATGCGAACAGGGGTACTATTTACATTACCTCCTTTCATTCCCAATGGATTCTTAGTGTTTCAGGTATGAAAATAAATTGGAAACCAGGAATTAGGAGACTTGGGGTCTCTGACTCACACTCTGCCACAGGCCTCTCTCCTAGCCTTCAAATCTGTAGCAGGTCTATGTGGACATTTGTTTTCTTTGTTTTTGAAACACTAGGCAACACTCTTTTCTAACCAATTTCGTACTTCCTTTTAGGGAACTCTACATCACTGCGTGTTCCTGGAGCGACTGTCAATCAAAGTGACTCCCCCAGCCTAGGGCTGGCCCAGGGTCTGAGAAGGCCACAGGACTCCCTCTCTGATGGACTCCTGAGCAGAGTACTGTGAACCAAGGACACAGCCAGAGCTCCCCCATTCTCACATATGCTAGGTGAGGTGGCCAGGTGCTCCTACTGAGGGAGGCCTGCTTCGTGTCCTGAGCCCTGAGCTATTGTTTTCAAGCCTGGCCTTGCAGTCTAGTTTACTCTATGAGCTACACAAAAGACCTCCAATAAAGTCCCTTTTGACTTAAGTCAGCCAGCTTGGGTTCTGTCACTTAACCTGCTGACTCAGCTGTTGTGAAAGTTCCTGGCAGGTAGAAAGATGGCAGTGGAGAATGTTAGTGGAGGGGCCTGCTGAAGAGGTTTCTAGAGGAACAGAAGTCCTGAGCTGTGAGCTCTATAAAACTAAGGGATCTTTTTGAACCAGCAAAGACAAGGCTCAAAGGCAGGAAGAAGGGGAAATAGGGATTCTGTCAAGCCAAGCAATTGGCACATTGAATTCCCTAACAAGAAATGGATGTCAAGGAAACAAGACGAGATGTTGCCCTGTACTTGAGGATTTGGAAACTGAAAAATGAGAAACTGAAAGAGGAAAATGTCCAAGGACTCAGTAGGGGCTCCACCAATGGTCACAGCCAAACAATGCTTTACAGGCACCCCTTAAAAGTAAAACCAAAAATTGTTTCCAGGACAGTCTGCACAATAGAAATTAGCATTTATTTACTGTTTCCTTCATTCATTCATCTTCCATGCATCTGCTAAACACCTGCCACGTGCTGGATGTCGAGCTAGATGCTGGGTAAGGAGATCACACCACCGCCCCTCCCCTCACATTATTTGCCATCCAACAAGGAAGAGGGATGAGAAGACAAGATCATCACAGCCAGAGAGGCAGGTGAGTGGATGTGGGGCACACAGACATAAAGCAATTGTTCGCACAGGAAGCCAAGTGGCGGGAGCATCCAGCTTCAACAGCAGGAGGAGGGCTTGCGAGGACTCCGGGAGAACAAGTCTGTGTGCGGCAGACTTGTTTTCCTGTAATTTGGGCTCTTGTCTCATTTTGGGCTTTAATGTTAGGGAAAGTAGCACGGGGCAGGGCGGGAGAGTGGGTAAGATGGGCTTTGCTCTGGTTCCCAACAGCTTGCAGATTTCACAGCCAGGACCCCGAGGGATATGTGCAAAACCCTCCTACCAAAGTGTGGATCCCAGACCAGCAGCATAGACCTCTCCTGGGAGCTTGTTAGAAATACAGAAATCAGACCCCATCCGAGACCCACTATATGATAGTCTGTATTTTTTTTTTTTTTTTTTTTTTTTTTTTGATACAGAGTTTTGCTCTTGTTACCCAGGCTGGAGTGCAATGGTGCGATCTCGGCTCACCACAATCTCCGCCTCCTGGATTCAGGCAATTCTCCTGCCTCAGCCTCCTGAGCAGCTGGGATTACAGGCACGAGCCACCATGCCCAGCTAATTTTTTGTATCTTTAGTAGAGACGGGGTTTCACCATGTTGACCAAGATGGTCTCGATCTCTCGACCTCGTGATCCACCCGCCTCGGCCTCCCAAAGTACTGGGATTACAGGCTTGAGCCACCACGCCCGGCCGACAGTCTGCATTTTAACAAGGTTCCAGGTGACCTGTAAGCAGGTTAACATTTGAGAGCATCAGTGTGATGATTGATGCTAGTGAAAAAGTGCTTCACTAATTAAAGCCTTAGTGAAGTACTGAGATATTCATTTAAGGGTATGTTATTTGGAAGGACTCGGGTCAGGAACTGGGAGGAATGGTGCAGGGGTAGGGGAGGGCTCAGTAGGACAGGTTCCTTTGGGTTGGATGTACCACAGAGTTACCTGATAAAATACAGAATGCTCAAATGTGAATTTCAAATACGCAATGAAAAACCTTTTAGTATAAGTATGTCCCAAATGTTGCATAGGACATACTTATTATTATTACAATTATTAGAGACAGAATCTTGCTTTGTTGCCCAGGCTGTAGTGCAGTGGTGCCATTTCTGCTCACTACAGCCTATGCCTCCTGGGTTCCAGCAATTCTCCTACCTCAGCCTCCTGAATAGCTGGGATTACAGGTGTATGCCACCACGCCTGGCTAATTTTTGTATTTTTACCATGTGGCCAGGCTGGTCTCAAATTCCTGACCTCAGGGGATCCACCCACCTCAGCCTCCCAAAATCCTGGGATTACAGGCATGAGCCACTGTTCCCAGGCAGACATACTTATACTAAAAATGTTACTCTTTATTTTTCTGAAATTCACGTTTAACTGAGGATCCTGTATTTTTATTTGCTAAATCTGGCAACCTCAGTTTCCCAGGATGTTGGTGTTACTTCACAACATCTAAAAGGGCTTGAAGCTATTAAAATAAAGAGATTAATGAAGAATAACCAGAATAATTGAATGGGTGATTTAAATTTGGGCATAACAAGCAAATTAATTTGGGAACATGTGTATAATTTTTTCCAGTATCTTCAATGCAGATATGAATCTAGTTGAATCACTAATATCTCCCCACAAAAGAGTAAAAGCCGAAGATGGCAGATGGTTAAGTAAACGGTATTGGAAAAATAAAGCCAACTCTCTCTCTAACACCATATGGATTAAAGACCTAAAAGTGAAAGACAAACTTGAAAAGTTAATAGAGGAGAATGTAGGAGAATATCTTAGTTACTCAGGTGAAGGGAAGAACTTCTCAAATTAAAATTTAAAAACATTTACGATCCAGCAATCTCATCCCTGGGTGTATGTTCTAGGGAATTTAAATCCAAAGATATGTCAAGAGATACTTGCACTCTTGTGTTCGTTTCAGCATTATTCACAACAGCCAGGAAATGGAAGTAACCTAAATACCCATCAGTGAAGGGATGGATAAAGAAAACCTGGTAGGCCGGGCGCGGTGGCTCAAGCCTGTAATCCCAGCAGTTTGGGAGGCCGAGGCGGGTGGATCACGAGGTCAAGAGATTGAGACCATCTTGGTCAACATGGTGAAACCCCGTCTCTACTAAAGATACAAAAAATTAGCTGGGCATGGCGGCGCATGCCTGTAATCCCAGCTGCTGAGGAGGCTGCGGCAGGAGAATTGCCTGAAGTCAGGAGGTGGAGATTGCGGTGAGCCGAGATCGTGCCATTGCACTCCAGCCTGGATAACAAGAGCGAAACTCCGTCTCAAAAAAAAAAAAAAAGAAAGAAAAAGAAAACCTGGTACATACATACACACAATGGAGTACTAGACAGCCTTAAAAAGGAAGGAAATCCTGTCATTTGTGATAACATGGATGGAACTTGAGGATATTGTGCTAATGAAATAAGTCAGACACAGAAAGACAAATACTATATAATCTCACTTATTTGTGGAATCTAAATAGGTCGATCTCATAGAAACAGACAGCAGAATAGTGGTTGCCAAGGGCTAGGGAGAGGGAAGATAGGGAAAGGGAAGATGTTGATCAGAGGGTACAACGTTTCAGTTAGGCTGTAGGAATACGTTTTAGTGAACTATTGCACTGCACGGTGACCACAATTAATAATAATACCTTGTAAAACTTGCTAAAATAAAATAGATTTTTATCATTACCAGAAATAAGTTGGTGAGGTAATACATAATGCTAAGTAGCTTGACTTAATCTTTCTACATTGTATACATAGATCAAAACATCACATTGTGCCCCATAAATAACACAATTATTGGCTGGGCATGGCGGCTCACACCTGTAATCCCAGCACTTTGGGAGGCTGAGGTGAGCTGATCACTTGAAGTCAAGAATACGAGATAAGCCTGGGCAACATGGTGAAACCTTGTCTCCACTAAAAATATGAAAATTAGACGTGTATGTTGGCATGCGCCAATAGTCCCAGCTACTGTGAGGCTGAGGCAGGAGAATAGCTTGAACCTGGGAGATGGAGGCTGCAGTGAGCTGAGATTGTGCCACTGCACTCCAGCCTGGGTGACAGAGCAAGACTCTGTCTCTAAAAAACAAAACAAAACAAAACACACAATTATTATTTGTCAATTAAAAAAATTTTAAAAACAAAACAAAAGCCATAAGGCCAATAAACAAATTTGGTTATGTAAAAATCAAGAATTTCCTTTCTACAAAGGACACCATGGGCATTGGAGAAGACAAATAAGTCATGAATATATTTGCCAAAGACAAATGGAAACTGATTTGTAAAGGGTATAAGAAACTCTTGAAAATCAACAAGAAAGAATAACTAATAACTACCCTAATAGAAAAAATAAAATAGGCCAGGAGCAGTGGGCAGTGGCTCATACCTCTAATCACTTTGGGAGGCTGAGGTAGGCAGATCACCTGAGGTCAGGAGTTTGAGACCAGCCCAGCCAATCATGGCCAACATGGTAAAACCCAGTCTCTGCTAAAAATGCAAGAATAGCTGGGCATGGTGGCGGGCACCTGTAATCCCAGCTACTCAGGAGGCTGAGGCAGGAGAATCTCTTGAACCTGGGAGGCAGAGGTTTCAGTAAGCTGAGATAGTGCCACTGCACTCCAGCCTGGGCAACAGAGAAAGACTCCATCAAAAAAAAAAAAAGTGGACAAAGGATATGAATAGAGAACTGACACAAACAGAATCTCAAAAAGCCAATACGCTCATTGAAGAGAGGCTCAAAATCATTAGCAGTCAGAGAAAGGCACAATTAAATAACATGGGCACATCATTTTATAGCAGACTATGCTAGGCTGCACTGGACTGGGGCATGGATAGCTCAGCAGTGGGAGTGCTGGCAGGTGGGCACCATGGGTAACATCCTACCTCTCTGGGGGGTGGGCAGCCACAGCTCCATGGAGGTCAGTGCACAACCCCATGGCTGGCGTCTCCCTTTTCAGCTCTCACACAGGTCCAGAGGGGCAGCACGTTCTTTGTGGTTGGATGACCAGGTGTCCTGAATGTCCATCTCCATGGGAGTGGAAGGTATGATATGTTAGACACACCATGGAAAGTCATGCAGAATTGGAAGCCAAGGTCAGAAGTACTCGAAGCAGTAGGATGGCTCTTATAGACAGGGTGCCAGGGGAACAGAGTGAAACACAGAATGAAATCAACAACACAGTCCACTTAGATGTATTTAAAAATGTAGGCATCCCAAACAAAAAGTATTTTATTGAAAAACATAAACTATAAACAGGATAGGTTGAATTTGCTTGGAAAGAGCATGGGGGAGGAATCCAGAGATACAGAAAATGATAAGTGAAAAATAGCAAAACAGTAAATAATAAAAATAATAGTACTAAGTAAATAGAAGACAATAAAATAAGTAAATAAGAAAGAAGAAAAATGAAAATAAAATAAAAGAAGAAAACAACCATCCCTGAGCCAACCATATAAAGTGGCGCAAAATTAGGAGGGTAATTGGCACAGCCCTCTGCACCTGAAGTCCAAGAGTAAACATGTGAATATGGAAATAAGCGGCCAGGTGCAGTGGTGTACACCTGTAATCCCAGCAATTTGGGAGGCCGAGGCGGGTGGATCACCTGAGGTCAGGAGTTCGAGACCAACCTGGCCAACATGGTGAAACCCTATCTCTATTAAAAATACAAAAAATTAGCTGGCCATGGTGGCACGTGCCTGTAATCCCAGCTACTCAGGAGGCTGAGGCAGGAGAATTGTCTGAACCCAGGAGGCGGAGGTTGCAGTGAGCCGAGATCACGCCATTGCACTCCAGCCTGGGTAACAAGAGCGAAACTCCATCTCAAAAAAAAAAATTTAGCCAGGCATGGTGGTGGGCACCTGTAATCCAAGCTACTTGGGAGGCTGAGGCAGGAGAATCACTTGAACCCAGGAGGTGGAGGTTGCAGTAAGCTGAGATCATGCCATTGCACTCCAGTCTGGGCAACAGAGTGAGACTCCATTTCAATA